GAAATAATTCAAAGAATATTGTCTTAATATTGAATTTAAAGATTATTATATATTTTACATTTTGATGAATGAATTATGGGTTGAAAAGCTGAATGTAGAAAAACAAGTTGTTATTTTGGCATTATACTAGGAAGGTTATTTAACCTGAAAGTTGTTTTAAAAATCAATGTTTTTCAAAATAAAGTCATGTTTTGGAGAAAGGATGAAACTGGCTGTTACCATAGTTTTCATTGTTCAGGAAGACCCAGTACAATGTACAAGTACAAATCACTAAGGAAGACCCAGTACAAATCACTAAGACAAAGTCATCTGTGTTCAAGTTAAAATTGTACTTGCACTGCTCCTAAAATTTGGGAAGAACTCAACTCACACATTGAGTAACACCAGTATCTGTTTCATAAATTTCCATAAAATGATGTCTTTGCAATTACTGTTTGAAAGAATGCATTTCTGCCAAAAAAAAACTATTACAATACAAGCTAAACAAAGTTAAAAGATATGGGCAAAAAAAACATAAAGATTTTACAGTTTAACAATGGTCTAAAGTCTTGTTCACTGACAAATTAAAGTTCGAAATTTTCAAAAAAAATCATCAAGAATATTTTTGTTATTTTATTAGAGAACACATAATAAAACAATGTGTTATTCTAAAAGCCAAGCATCAGTCAACATCTGGGGATGCTTTGCTGGAAAAAGTTAGTGACATGTGAATTAAGGGCTCATAGATAAAAAATATACCTCAAGATTCTCCAAAAACATGCATTTCTCTGCGGAAAAAGAATTGTGAGTCGTGGATTTTTTAACAGGATAACAATCCTAAACATATTTCTAAAATGTGCAGAAATTATATCACAACCAAAGATAAAAAAACAAACAACCAAAGGATATGAAATGACTGCCTCATTTGCCTGATTTAAACCTAATTGAACCGTCTTGAGAAAAATGCAACCAATCAAAGTAAAAAAACAATTTTTGGGCATTCATACAAATGTGTTGGAATCAAATCAACTAAGTCATTGCGGAAAATCGATTGTAAAGATGTACAGAGTAGGTGCTGCTGTTTTAAAAGCAAAAAGAGTTTAAAAAAAACTTTAAAAACTCTTAAAGGAAAAACTAGAAGATTTTTTTAAATGTCCCACATATATATATATATATATATATATATATATATATATATATATATATATATATATATATATATATATATATATATATATATATAAAAATTATATAGGCTGTCTAGCACAGAATTGATGTTCAACTGTTGACTGGTCAAAATAAAAAAATTTTTAAGTGTTTAAATTTTTTTTTCATAAAACATACTAAACTTTGTAAATAAAAAGATACTTAATGCTGTAAAAGAATTACTTTTGACATAATTTTAAATCAAATCATTGCTTTTTTTTTTTATGAAAAATCAGTTTTACGGTAAATAACTAATGCTCCAATTAACTGATTGAACTAACATTGTTTTAAAATGGCTCACTTGCGCAGATTAAAAATGGTGTTTTGATTAAAAAGGAAGGTTTGATAACATCAAAATAATTTTAGATATTTAATATTTTTGTACATTTAACTTGTTTAATTTTTTTATATATAGTTAAACTGTTATAAAATTATTAATTAAACTTGAGAAAATTTTAATTTAAAAAGATTTTTGTAATTTATTGCTACTTGATGCTTTACAATGAAAAAACTAAAAAAAAATTTATTCTTTAATTTAATTTTTTTTTAAAGTGATTATCATTAATAATATAAATTAAGTGAAGCTAGAAATTTTAGCATGCAATGATCATACGAATTTTATTCTAGCACGGCAGTTTATTTTTAGCACAAAATAAAGAAAATAATTAAAACTGAATATTCCATACTAGCCTGCCCTAAGTAAATTTGTTCAAATTATCAGCTTGCTTTTTTTTTAATGTTTGTTATTTAAAATGCAAAAAAAAAAAAACAACTTTCTTTCTTTCAAAACAAAATTTTTCCTTTTATATATATATATATATATATATATATATATATATATATATATATATATATATATATATATATATATATATATGTATGTATGTATATATATATATATATATATATATATATATATATATATATATATATATATATATATATATATATATATATATATATATATATATATATACAGTGCTCAAACTGGGGCGGGATGCCATCCTGTCACCTTTTTATAAAGTATAAACCATCCCACCAACTTTTTATAAATCTCTTTATATTACAATGATAAGGCGGGATGGTTTCTTTTTTAATTTACCGAATACCATCCCGTTTCTTTTTTTTTTCTTCACTTTGAGCACTGTATATATATATATATATATATATATATATATATATATATATATATATATATATATATATATATATATATATATATATATATATATATATATATATATATATATATATATATATATATTAGACAGGGCCTATTCATGGAAAAAAATTTGGGCGGTGGAATACCTCCTCATCCCAGATAAATTTAGTGGAAATACTGCCGAATATATGCATTTTTTTGCGAAAAAAAACAAAATTTCCTGTAAAAATGTTTAAAAAATAATTCTCCTTTTTTTCTTTTTTATTGTAAAAAACGTAAACATAAAAATTAGGTTTTAAATATTTAAGCGCCCAAATATGGTTGACATTGTCGAAAATGGTTTAGAACAGCCCCTTATATATATACAATTTCACAAAGTTCATTATTTGTACACGAAAATTAATAAATGAATCAAAAGTATCAAAAAAAGTTGATTTGCTTCTGGATAAAACAAGTACAACTCCACAAAATGTTGATTAAGCTGTATTTCGCTATCAATATTTTGTGGCGAATTCTTTGTTGTTGATCACAGCGTTGCATCTTTGAGGCATAGATTCGATCAGGTGATCAATGAAACTTGGTGGAGTCTTTTTTTCTGGTTCTTTAGTGAAATCAGTGGTTTCTTTGCAGGGCGTCGAGAAAACAATCTGGCTTCAATAGCACGTTGTCTGATTGTTCAGTCTGATACAGGCAGCTCTAATTGCTGACAGATCTGACAATCATAGAATCCTCTCTAGAAGTGGTGAAATGCGTTCTTCCACCTTTGTTATCTGCTGCCAACTTCCCTGTAGAACAATATTTGGAACATTGATACGATACATTGATACATTGATAGTCTTGATATGGTCCATTTTTTTACGGGATATTTATCACAAATACTTTTTTGTGACATTCCACTTACGTAATCGCCAATAATTTTCTTTCTCAGTTCCATTCCAAGACTGTTGGGAGCCTTTTTGTACTTGAAGTCATAAAAATAATAAAAATAAATAATCACGCTTCTTAAAGCTTACTGTGTTACATTTACCTTGTGATGATACAATAATGCTCTGTGGAACACAGCGTCTTGGTTGGATGTGGACTGTATTGATGTTATGAAGCATTTGTTGTATTTCACTTCTTGTATTGATGTTCTTCGATAAAACACTTTGATAAAACTCACTTTGATAAATTGTCTTGATAATACTGACTGATTGAATTCCCTATACTGACTGAATTACATGTCGGTTTACATGTCTCTTATATAGTAAAATAAACCTGTGTGAACCTGTTCTGGAAGATTCTAGATGCTTCTTTTCGATGCGCCTGGATGCTTCTGAATTTTTCTGGATACTTCTGGATGCTTCCAGATGCTTCTTCTGGAAACTTCTGGAAGCTTCTGCATGCTTCTAGAAACTTCTGGAAACTTCTGGATATTTCCTTTAATTATTAAAAAACTTCCGTGACGTTGACACGGACCAGATCTAAGAAAATGTAACAAACCAAAAAAGTTGCACTTGTTTTGTTGGCTGCAAAATAGCACTTGTCAAGGAAATTCTGCTTGTTTGCTCTCACCTGTCAGCTAATTGCTCATGTCATGGCATGCTATGACTCCAGACTCCTGAACTGTTTGCTGTAGTAGTATAGTTCGTTTCATTTTTAAGACGTAAAATTAGGAACACTTTTTAGCATTGTTCGATGTTGGTTGCAAATGTTTTGTTCAATACTATTATATATATATATACATATTTATATATACATATTTATAATAATATATATATATATATATACATATTTATATATATACATATTTATATATATACATATATATATATATATATATATATACATATATATATATAAATATACATACATATATATATATATATATATATATATATATATATATATATATATATTTATATATATATATATATATATATATATATATATATATATATATATATATATATATATATATATATATATATATATATATACACACATATATATACACATATATATACACATGATATAAAAGATTTTCTTAAAGTTTTTTGAGCTTAGATTTGGAGAAAAGAATAAGAATTTATTTAGAGATTAAAAAAATTCGTTCTAATTTTAGATTTTAGGACTAATGAGAAAATGTCTTTTTCACCAGTTTTTTGTTAACATAATAATATTTGTCCTCAGGATGCTTTTTTTGTTAAAATGTTGTAAAAATATGATTAAATTAATAATAATAGCTGCTAAAAAAAGGAGAAACTGCAAAAATAGTTTTTTGACTTGAAATCTGCAAGAAATAAAATCTTTAATGCAAAAAATCAAGGTTGATTCAAGAACTATTGCTTATAAAATTGTGGACAGTTTTTAGTTCTAACCTTTATAATGATCAATCAAGTATAAATAAAAATCAATTAAATTATAAATATAGAGAACAATAGGTCAAACAAGTTTGCATAGAACTACTAAACAGTTTAAATTTTGACTTGCTACAATATATTCAGAAATGGAGGTCTATGGGGGTTGTGGAATGAGAATATATCATGGTCTGTGCAAAATTTTTTAATGATCTGCATTCAAATTACATATAATTAGGTTTTTATTGACCACTGGTGTATGTATTATTTATTTAAATTGAAACAAATATTTGTAACTATGTATACATTTTTAGAAAGCTCAAGGTTTCAAAGGACCAAAATGGTATAAAGAAGTAGAGAAACCATTGCATGAACTGGCTGCTTGGATTTTTTTGCAAGAGTATAATGAAGTTGATGATGAATTGGGTAGACTTTTAGGAGGTATTTTTTATATAATATGATATGATTATCATATTACTATCACAATAATCTTCAATTAAAATAACAATTCAAACAATGCATATTATTAATATGCAATCTTTGAATTACCATGTAACAAAAATGCAAAAATTTTGGTTGTAGATGAAATAACAAATAATTTTGTTCAAAGGTTTTGAATAAAATTCTACACTTTTAAGTAAAATTCTACACTTTTAAATAAAACTTTTTGAAATCTCAGAAGTATAATCTCAGAAGGCTTGTCAATGAATTTAAAATTTAGTTTTAAATTATAAAGTTAAAATAAACTTTATACATTCATAAGTTTTTATATAAGAATTCAATTTTTAAAAAATTAAAATACTACAATTTTTTTATTATGGTTCTAAATTGACATATAATATAAGACAATTGACAGTATAAATATATACTGTCTAAAGACATTACAAAGAACTATATAGAACAGTTGTTCTATATTACAGACCAGATAATTGTTCTGATTGTTTTAAACAATTTTTATAACTTAATAATTATATAATGCCTATCTCCTTCCTTAGATTCTCATTATTATATTCTATCTTAGATTTTATCTCCTTCCTTAGATTCTTTCTCATTATTATATTCTATCTTAGATTTTATCTCCTTCCTTCGACTAGATAAAGATCCATCTGCTTATATGTTTACATAGTTAATACTTTGTTATGCCACCCATTTGCAGCAGTGCTCTACTTTTATATAGTTTTTAATTGCTAATTCATTTTACTTTAAATGTTTATACCTTTAAAAGAGTTTATTCATAAGTTTATATTATCAAATAAAAACTTTTTTTTTATGGGTTTATGGGTTTCTATTAATACTTTTTTACAATATATTGAGGAAGTATTGACACACTTGTTAAAAAGATATTTTCTGCACAATTTTTACCAAACCATCATTTTATAATTATGTCATTTTAGGTAATTTATTGAATTTGATAAATATCAACATGCTAAAGTATTTTGATTCAAAATCTTATGATGGCATCTATAAGCTTACAATGTACTCAGGAGTAAGTTATTCTTACTGTAAAATATATAAGAATATATTATTGATTAAAAGTAAAAATTAATTATGTCATATGTATTATGAATAATTTTATAATAATTTATAATTTAATTGTATATAATATTTATAGTTTATAATAATATATAATAACTTATAATTATTTATAATAAATTATAACTTGTTTATTTTGACGCAGCATGATACATCAATTATGTCATTGACAGCAGCATTAAATGTGGATATAACACCCCCAACATTTGCATCTTGTTTTATGATTGAATTGTACCAACATAGTAATGGGTATTTTTAATGATTATTTTTGATATTTTTTAAAATAATGATGTATATATTAGTGATATGCAAATGTTGCTGGCCAGTCATATTTCAAACTATATTTGTTCTTAAAATAGGTGAATTAATTAACAAACTTTGAAATCTTAAGTTGAGTTTCCACTCATCTGTTTTTCTACGAGAAAGGGAAAGAGAACGGAAAAATAATCATGTGAGCATGCGCAGTTTACTTTCGGACAAATAAAAACTTTTGTTACGTATGCTCACGTGATTATTTTTTCTTTTCCTATCTTGTTCTCGTTGAAAAACGGATGAGTGGAAACTCGCCTTTAGTTGAAATCTTAGTTGTTAGATTAAATTTTAGTAGTATATAAATATATACATATATATTTTCCTGATAAACCTACAGAAGGAGAAACAGGCTGTTGAATAAAATTAGATAAGGTGTATATATAAAATTAGTAAAAGCACTTATCTAATATTTTTTGACAGTCAGTTTTTCCTGATGTGGGCTCATCAGGAAAATATATATTTTATATATCTTCATGAACTTTGATAGCTTAGTATTTTAAAAAAGCTCTTAAAAAGAACAATAAAAAATGTATAAAAAACCTTGATTTAGAGGTTGTTACCCCATCTGTAACACCCTCTAAAACATTAAAAAAGTTACTTTTTTTTGAAAAATACATATTTTTGTTAATATTTTTGATTTTTATTTGCATGAACTTAAATTAGTTAGTATTCTACTAAACCAACATCAAATATGATTTAGTTACATGGAATTGAATGGGTAAAAGTAACAAATATTAACCCCCTCCCTACTTAGGTGTACAACGTTAAAAAAATAATGTTATTTTGGGTGAGTTATTAAAGTATCTTTTTCCTTTTATTTATGTTTTATTAAGTAAGCATGTAGTAAGAAAAAATGTTTTTGAAGAATTGGTAATAATACGCCTGCCAATACTACGGCTGGCGCTTTTTTAAGCGCTTGACAAAAAATTTTAAGCGTGTTTTTAAATTGCAACAAATCTTTTTTCTTAATCAAATTCTAATTAAAGAGGTACAAAAATCAAATACTTTTTAAAATTGCACACAACAAACAAACTGCCCTTCCAGCGCTTTTTCGTGTGCTGGCGGTAAATTTCAAATGAAGAAGACTGAGAGTGTGGTTTATTTATGACAGATGTGTTGTTAATGTTCAATTCATGTTCTTCTTACATTGACAAATTCTTCAACTGACTTTGAAAGAGCGAATGCTTCTTTCTAAGAGTAATTGAAGGCTTCATTTTAAAAATTGAAAAAAAAAAAACATGAGCTCAGATAAAGTTAAACAATAAAATGGTCCATAGTCCATATGTTGAATATCTTGGTAATAAAAATATAAAAATTGGTGGTTTCAAGTTGTTTGATCACTTTCAGAACTTATGAATTTTCAAAAAAAAAGGCTAGTAATGGATGAAAACCAATTTTGTAACAAATTGCTGGCTAATGCAGGCCTTGCGATGAATAAGAACTGCGCGACGCGTGATTTTGTGACGTCATTAAATTCTTTTATATTTGCTTTTCATATTTATCGACATTAACTGCACCAATTTACTTAATTACCGCAAAACTACTTTAAATCGTTTATGTAGAAATGTTATTATTTAAAAATGTTTTGGAATGTTTCGTTTTTTAAAATGTAAAAACATTTGTTTATTTTCTCGATGTTTGTCACGTTTTGTCTATACTAAACGAATAAAAAACTTAACTTTAAAAAAGTTAAATTTAACTTAAATTTAAAAAAGATTATAAAATATGCTAATATTTGATTTTTTTTTTCTTAAATATGTAATTTAAAGTTTTTCAAATAATTATTTTTTCTTTTTAAAAAGTCAGCGAGTAATAAACTAGAAATTTAATATTGTACGATTAAAAACTGTGCAATAGCTAATATTTTTACAAGCGATTTTATATAATATTTATTTATTTATTTTTATTTATTTTCATAAAGCGGTTGGATAAGCACAATCACTCGTATTAATAAAAAACTTAAATGAACGTTTTGAATAGATTTTTAATCTTAACAAGGAATTTTATTTCTAGCAAAATAGAATAAAATGTTAGAATAAAAATGTTATAGGTATAAAAGAAATATTTCAGCGAAAAAATTATTCTTAAAAATTATCATTAAAAATTATTCGAAAAACTATTGAAGTTTTATTTTTCAGCAGCTGTTCTTGAGCACGCTTCGTTGAGTTTTGGTAACTTTTAACATAAAAGCGATCGTTATTATTTAAGTAATTTTTTTGAGTTACTTTTTACAAAAATTTTAATAACTGTACTTTTTTATTGAATCAAGTAGAATACGTTTTAATATAAATCCTTTTTTTTTTTTTTTTTATTTGCGCTCACCAATTTTTAAAATGTTTCCTCGAAATTACTCTTAAATACTTTAAATACGTCTAACAGTTAATAAATATTTTTAAATCTATGGAATAATTTTAGTATTTTTGTTCAACTTAATCGACAACTTTGCTATTGCTGAATAATTTTATTAAAATGTTAGCTTAAAAGATTTAAACTTTTTTTTTTAATCTGAACTTTTTCTACTTGTAAATAATGAGCATATTCAATTTTTTTTAATTCAAACTTTTATTTCAACTGCGTGCGGTTTTTAAAATACTTTATTAAATGTTACAGGGTTATTCATTCTTATATGAGCGTCTATTCATTTTTATATCCGCCTTTATTCATTCTTATATGCGCATTTATTCATTTTTATATGCACCTTTATTCATTTTTATATGCGCATTTATTCATTCTTATATGCGCATTTATTCATTTTTATATTGTTTACAAAAGCAATTGTAAAAAAGCAATTTGAACCAAAAAAAAATCATTTAAGCACTTTGTTTTAAAAAAAACAGTTTATTTTTTCAAAAAAAATTTTTATTTCCAGGTAAACGAGGTTAAAAATAATAAAAAACAAAGACTTTTTACATTCGATGATGGTTTATTTAATTTAGTATTATTTCTTTGTTTTCGATGATAGTTTATTTAATTTAGTATTAGTTTTTTGTAATTTTATTATTAAATTTCTTGATTGATTAAGTTATTATTTATCTAATTATTCATTTATCTAGATTTAAATTTAATTATTTTTAATTATTATTAATATCAAATTATACATCCCTATGGATGGAATAGAAAATAGCAGTACCAGTCGTAAAACAAGGAAAAATGTTACAAAAGAGCACATTGAAATGCTTAAGCAGTTAATTGAAAGAAATCAATCTACAACAAGCATTTCCACTTCTCTTAATTTATTGAAGCGCACAGTTCAAAATCTTGTCGTTAAGTTAAACAGAGGATAATTCAACGACATGAATGCATTCAAGTCGTTTTCTGATTAAAAAAACGAGGTAAAAGACCTATAAACTCTCAAATAAAAAATATTATCGAATTATGCGTACAAGAAAACATTTTTTGCACGCAAGAAACAATAAAAGAAAATCTTTCTGCAGCAGGCTTCAACATGTCTCAGCCTACTATTTCAATGTTTCAGTATTTCAAGAATACTATTTACTATTTCAAGAAAACTCAAACGCTCGGATTTATCAAGAGAACGAAATTCAACACAAATGATTAATGCACGCATTTGCTGTGTACGCATTTGCAAGCGAAATTAACGGAATTTCAGATGAAAAACTTATTTATTTGGATGAAATTTATTTGGATGAAATTGGATTTAATTTATTTGGATGAAATTGGATTTAATGTGCACACTAACAGCACATATGGTTATTCGCTAAGAGGTGCGCCAGCAATTTTACAGTCGCCTGCAAATCGTGGCAAAAATGTTAGTTTAATTTGTGCTGTTTCAACAATGGGACTACTTGCTTATGAAACAAAAACTGGAGGCTGGAATGCAGATTCATTTTGTACTTTCATAACTACAATGATGGCACCAGCGATTAGGAATGCAAATGTGGAAGCGTTGGTGCTTGTTATGGACAATTGTAAATTCCACTGGAGTCTTTCTGTTAGGCAAACACTAGCCTCTCATGGTATAGCTATTAAGTATCTGCCAGCTTATATGCCACAGCTTAATCCAATAGAAGAATTTTTTTCTTTTTTAAAACATACTTACAAACAGGGAGAAAGGCCTCGAAATACGGATGAGGTAATCAGGAAACTTAAAAATATTATGGATACTACAGAGTTTAATATAGTTCCATTTTACAACCATATGCGTAGTTATATAAATCAAGCGCTGGCTCGGCAACCATTTCTTAAATAAATAACAATGAAAACAACCTAGTTTGTATTTTAAATAAGTCTATATAAGAATTTAAAAGCGTATTTATCGTTTATATTAAATTATATTAGAGATTTTATGGGTGGTTGACGCATATACAAACATAGGGATGTATAATTTGATATTAATAATAATTATAAATAAGTAAATTTAAATCGAGATAAATGAATAATTAGATAAATAATAACTTAATCAATCAAGAAATTTAATAATAAAATTACAAAAAACTAATACTAATACTTGTAAAACACATATAAGAATGAATAAAGGCGCATATAAAAATGAATAAAGGCGCATTTAAAAATGAATAATTGCGCATATAAGAATGAATAAAGGCGCATATAAAAATGAATAGACGTGCATATAAGAATGAATAACCCTGTAAAATAATCGTAAATTACTTCATTAAAATTCCGCTCAAAAATATCTTTAAATATACTCAAACAAAAATTTTTTTGCTCAAATAGCCCTAGCTATTCGCAAAATCCCACGCAAAATCGCTCTTGGACGGCATAAAATTCACATCGCCCGACGTTTTATCGCAAGGCCTGTAATGAAATGTTGGCCAACCTTTTTGAAAGATACAAGATATAATTCTTTACTGAGTTATTGAAAATTGCTTTGTTCTACTTAAGTATTATGTGCCATAATACCAATGCAGAGTGGTCCAGGACCATGCTATAAGTACATTAAAAATTTTATTCTTTAA